CTCGCCGCCCTTGTTGACCTTGGAGCGCAGGCGACTCAAGCTGTACCCCTTCCTGTGAGCAAAGGCAAAGATCTCCGTCTCGGCTTCTTCCAACGACGCGTAGACGCGATCCAGCGGCGGTGGCTCCATCTTTAGTGATATGGTGCCTCTGCGAGTGAGAAGGCTATTTCTGTCAATCTGAGCGTGCTATTAAGGTCACGAGCGGTCATCCCTCTTTTGGAGGGGGAGGGGGGTGTGTGCCTAGCAAGGAGGGGTGTGTGTGTGCCTAGCAATTCCCTAAAAAAAATGTGGTTTTTCAAATTTGCTTTTTGAAAAACCACATTTTGGAATTTTAGTGAAACATTTAAAATTAAAATGTGATATTCTTCAATATGACCAGTGGTAAAATATGATAGAATGAAAAATTTGATAATCTTAACAACAAATAAGAGGATCTTGTTTGACTAAAAGCAGCATAATAAGCTTTAGTTGTAAGATTATTGGTTTTTGGGATTTTTTTTTCAACTTTTTAAAAAAAAAATTAATATATTTATAATAAAAATTATTATTATTATTATTATTATTATATGTACTTTGTCATATATATGATATTTATATAAGTAGATTTTGAAATTTATAACATATTATTTAACTTATATAGAGAATCCTAATAAAAATAATATTTTCTGAAATAATTTGCTGGATTGTGATTAAGATTAAACTCAGGCTTCTAGATTTTGGGTTTAGCATATTGGAGTTTGGGAATAAGCTAAACCTCAAAATCCAAAAACATTGTCATTGACCAATCAAAGAAACTCAAGTCCACTTTAGAATTTTTCTTCTATTTTCATGTGAATGTAGCCCTCAATAACAAACCATTTACTTCAATGTCCGCATGTCATGTATATGATTATCCGTGTTTGAAATTTTGTGTGAAAATGCGTTAGAAGTGAATTTAAAGCAAAGTCACCATTGCGAGAGGAGAGAGTAAAGACAATGGTTCTAATAGACGCGAGATTCTTGTTGTAGTCTTGTTTCATCTCCTTATCAATGTCAAATTCCTACACAAATTATGCTTGAAAGTATTTGACGGATTCCCCGCCATTCTTGAAATTAGATTGCAAAAACAAACCTTGTTCTTCAATATTGGCTTGTTAGTGCATGTGAGTCTGGAATTTTTATTTTTCTAGTGAAGTTGCATTGCACTTATTAAATTTTAATAATATATTTTTCATATATTAATAACATAAAGCTTTTTAATAAAGCAATATATCGAATTTTTTTAAATAATCAATTATTATGAAGCTATTTTAGAAAAAAAATCATATCTTTTTCAATATACTAGGTTTAAAAAATATATGCATGTATTCATAATGTTGAAATGTTGATGAAATGAATATATGCATTTCTTCAACAAAAACTTAAGTATGAAACAGAAAACTCAACGTTAAAAGTCAAAAAATTTGATTATCTTATCTACTAATTTTATAAATTATCTGATCTAAGTTATCAATTTAAGTTCATAATAAGAAATTTTTTAAGATATTTGATTTTTTAATATTAAAAAATTTGTATACCACAATTTTTTTTCAAATCCAAGCAAAAAATGAAACAATGGAATTTAATATAATGTTAATAAAATTATGTAAATTCTAAACTGTTTAACTTTGTAGCTTTTTTTTGTAAGCGCCAGATTAAGCTTGTTTTGTAACTTTGTTGTAACAATCACATATACTTTTGTGATGATCAAAATGTGCAAATGACTTCTAGAACCATTTTTGAAAATAGTGATTTGTAGAAAAATCAAGAAATAATATTTAAATTTAATAACTGAAAAATTATCAATTTGATTTGAATTCATGCAATTAGAAAATTGTTTCATTACGTCATACAAGATTGAAGTCATCAAATATTATAAGGCTGGACTTCAATAGCATCACAATTGAGAAATAAATCTGATTGAATCTATGATTTAATTTCAACATAGACATATGTGTTGATCAGTAGTTTGCTCCATTTATCTTCTTATTAGAAAAAATTTCTCCATGTTTTAATCTGTTTGAATATGTAAGAGCTTAAATCTTACTATTACTTTAATATAATTTTTTTTAAGAAAAAATATTTTTATAATTTTTAAATACTGGGCTTTCATGTTAATTTTTTCAAAAGCTGAAAAAAGTGTGAGATTTAAAGGAATTAAAAAGAATAAATTCATATATGTAAGAAAAAAATTGAATATAATTATTCAAAAAACATTTCATTTTTTTAGACTTTGAAATTATGTAACACATTAAAATCTTTTTACAATAATAATTAATTTTTGCAAAGTATTGATGAATTTAAAAGAAGAACATTTTTTTTTGAAAAAAAAATCAATACTCAAAATATCTACAAAAACTTGATCTAATTATCCATATTCTAGAAAAACACACTTGATAAGATATTCATAACTATTTAATTTCACTTTATTATGTCCAAGCAGTATGGCTTTTAGATGCATTTATATGACATGTATTATGTCATTAAAATTTTGACACTGTTATAAATTTCTGATAGAAAAAATTCAAATTTGGTTTGGGAAAAAGAAGGATTGAAAACTTTGCTAGAATAAAAAACGTAAACATAATTTCAATACTATGACTTGAACCATTGAAACATCTTCCCAAGACAAATTATCTTGGAAATATTACAATGCAAGATAAATGTTGATATTTTTTTAAAAAGTTTGTGTGATAGGTTGTGATGTAATGTGACATCATGTATTTCTTTTCATTCTTGTTATTAGCATTTTTTATAAATGTGAGCAATTTCTGCATATAACACTAGCTTGTGCAATCCATACAAGATTTCCTACGGTGATGCTACTTTGGATGCTCATATGATATATGTAATTTTTGATCTAGATAATTTGGTTATCCTCGACGTAACACACACGTATAACACACCTCACATCGTGATGCTATTGGAATCTAGCTCCATCTTCATTCCTTACATCACACATTATCCCCGCTGTATGATTTGATGGTGTCTTCTCATCTTCTTTTTAGGTATTTCTTAATTCTCATGTTCCTTGTTTTCAGCACAATAAAATTTTACAAGCCGTACTAAATTGGATAACTATTAAAGATTCTTGATTTTTTTTCTCATTATTATCTAAAAGTCTCTTCACCTTCAAACATAGCCCAAAGTCGATATTGAAATCCATTCAGCTAGGCTTCTAGTAATAGTGTTTTTTCAAAGTGGAAACTAAAACAGTAACTAAAACGTGCGCAATATGCAAATTTGGTGTTACAGTAAACGATCCAAGTCCTTAACTGATGTCTTTTCATCATCTACGTTTCCTAATCAAAATTTATCTTATATTCACTGGGATGTAAAACCTACGATACACGTCAAAGATTTTGATGGTATTTGAGTCGAGCCCCCTCTTACCCATTTCGTTGTCTTCCTTTCAACGGTTGAATGGCTTCCCCCCATCTTTTACACTAAATATTACGTAGATTTTGTAATTCTTGGTTTCACGAGAATATGTATTCTTTATGATCAAAGAAGTATCATGGCGAGATGGACCCTTCACCTCCTTGTTTGCATCCGTGTGAGACTAGATGGATGGGGCCTTCCCAGCCTTTTTGCTATATTGCTCGATTTAGATTCTGGTGAACTTTTCACACTGCTTTTCCAACTTTTCAATCTACCAAACTCTGGGCCTCATCTGCTGCAAGTCCTGCCAGCAGGTATTTTCCGAGGAGATAAAATCTTCCAGCTTTTTGTCCCGGTGGCTTCTCTTGTCGAGGCACACATGCTATACATGGAGGAAAACCCCAGCATATCTCAGAGCTTCATCTGAATGATCAGATGGTAATCCCTGTGTGTGCATTGTTGTGTTTATCCAAATCACTGTTCAATCCGAGACCACATCATCCAAAGAGCAAGACCGCTGTCAAGTGGAAGAGAATATCAAAGCCTACGCCTTATGCAGGCACCCGATTTATATACACCCAAATTGACAGCCGGGTAATTAACCCAAAGGGGACCTAAAGCCTATTCTGTGCAGTCTCGAATCACTCTGGTAGGCTGTACCCATCCCAGTCGCCGAGCCTTTCCCTCCTGTCTAATCTGTACTACATAGGGGACACTCTAGTCAGTGGGTCAACTGTAGCTCAGACTAGCTGGACATTCAGAAGCCAAATTTCTCTCAATTTCGACGTGTTGATGTTCGCATCAGAGCTTCAACCACATTCATGCTCGGTGGAGGGTGACACAATGATCACTAGGGCTCGTCCCTTGCAAGGAAAAGTTTGGGCTCGTTGGTATAATAACTTTTACTGTCCAGGAGGAGGAGGAGGTGGAGGTGGAGGAATACCGACGACCAGGTTTATTGCAGTAAACTCTTTCCGTGACAGCCTTGGACCACAGGAGGTATGGGCCTGGGGCTGTAGGTTCCGTTCCGTCTTGTTTTCTTATGCCGAGGACATTTTCTGTGGTCCAAAGAAGGTATGGAAGCGTGGTCATTTGGGAAAAATAGCTGTGTAGAGAAAGGTCTCTGATGACAACACTTCTCCAATAAACCATCTGTGCGGTAAGCAGCACTTTTATTCCAATCCAAGTACAGAGATATAGTGTATTGCTGGACCTTGATTTCACCAAATTCTCATTGGATCCAAAATGAGGTAAAGTCTCGAGGGCGCTGCATGCGCCATAGAACAAGAACTGGATTATACCCTATCTGTGAGAAGCACCCTGTCTTTTCGAGAAAGGTCCTAGCTTAGTTATCAGTTAAGCAAGCTCCCACCACAAAAGCCTCGTCAACCCTACGTACGAACCAAGCAAGCCAAATTGTTGGTAGACACATGCTGCGGCTATCAATATTAAGATATTACTTTCAGCGAAGTTGTAATCTGTTGTAGCTCCAGAGGCTCAAACCACTCATGTGTATTTAGTCTCATGTCACAGCGCACTTCGAGAACGCTGTTTTCTTCTCCCCCCAACTTTTTTCAGTTTTTCTGAGTTTTGAAAAAGTTCCGATTGGCTCATTCGAGTTTCGACATCAACAGATACTTTTTCCAAAACCTCTTCCTCATGCCTATGAACTACATTCTTGTCCACAATCTGATCCCACCAATTTCAACAGAGTGCACCGTATTTTCAGGGATCAGTACACTCTTTGCTTTCCAAATTCATAATTAACCCTGACGAAAATTTTCAATTAGCATTCTTAGTGTGAATGGAAAAAAATCAGTAAAAATAAAAGAGAAATGGACACAATCCTGAAACATAGGCTAACCAAGCAGGAAAGAAGAAAAATTCAGTTATCTTCCCGTGCACACAGACTTTTTCTCTGCCCTAGATGGGGCCGGCGGACAAGTTTCATGCATCCAATTAACGATACGATCTGTTATGGGCTCGCTTCGCCTGCGTTCACATTTAAGTGTTGTAAACCTGAATTCACAAGACGGGTACTAGATTCCGCAAGTACTGTACTATTGCCGGCAAACAAAAGTAGGTACCGGTAGAGTGGAAGCAGAACTGTGTCACGGAACGACATACCCAACGAACCATACGCAAACTTACCGTAATTCCTGGCCTCCATCCCTCAGCTCGTTGTGGAAGCTCAGTTCCTTGCTCTTCGTACACACCTCGACTTGTCCACCTATACGGATTCGACAAGCTCCTCTCGGACCCAATGGAGCCGCAACAGCTGGCGCACTCTGAACCACAAGGACGTGCCAGGTGTTAACTTGACAGCATGGCCGGGATCCAGTGTGAAATGCGTTGTTCTTGTCCACGTAGGACAGTTAGAGAAGAAGAACAGTCTGTCAGTAAATCCAGTCGAACCTTTTTGTCAGTGCACGGTCGGTCCGGACGGAGGGTTATGGACTGGAGGTCCTGGGAAGCGACTACGGACCGCCGCCAGGCAAGGGAAGCCATGGAGACCAGTATTCCGGTGGCCGTGTCGTGAATCGACGAGTTGGGACGATGGAGAATAATTCCGCTGGGCTCGGCCTTCTTGATGTTGTATCACTCTGCTGCTCGGAGCAAAGTCGGCTCCTCAGATGGACACGCACTTTACTTCCCCGGCTCCTTCACCCGTCTGATCCGTCTGGCGAAGATGAAGCGCGACTCCGATGCTCTCCATGATATCATGCCCGGCACAGTTTTTCGTTTTGTCCCCGCACTCAATGCCTCGTTCCTGGAATGGAATGGAATGGAAGCGGGAACTTGATTCTGAAGGTAGACCCATTCCCAAGATCTCGATTCGCCGGCCCCCGGATCCTGAAAGACATCCCTCTACTGTAGTGCGAGGGATCTACTCTCTGTAAGGCTTCACGGCTTCAGCTGGAACTCGCAGGAGCAGATTCCCAAACTCCCGAGAACAAATTAATTTAACCAAAAAGGGATGGGAGCACCATCATCAAGTCGTTCATGGATCAAACCAGAGCGGTGATTCTGGGAAATAGTGTGAGCGCTTCAACGCAAGGAATCCTTCAGCTGTATCGGTTGAATTCCGCGTTCGGTTCGCCTCGTGTCTCTTTGGAGGGAGGCATATGGTTTTGGAGGGCTTAGCTGAGCTCCGACGGGAGACTTGTCCTCAAGCCTCATGCTTGTATGCACACGTGGTACGAGGGGCCGCCAGGTCAGTACACGTCTGTGCAATTCCTTGTGGGGTTGACTCCACCAATCGCCTCTCATTGGCGTGTATGTTCAAGCCTCGCCAATCGTTCGCAGTCGGCCCACACGAAGAGTACCCGGTATCTACGATGACCTTGTATATATACGCTTGTGTATTCGAAAATATGTGCCTTCCGAGGCGTAGACTGCAAGGAACCCGCACCTGCACGTCGCCAAGAGGGACCGCACGCGGATATGGCTGACCTGAAACCTCCGGTTCGACGTCAATATCGACCATCTCATCCTCACCTTTCTCTCTTAGCCATCATAGCTAGCCTCGAGTGCGTTACCGGATTGGCACTATTAACGGTCGAAAATGTACGAATACCGCAGAAAAGTTTACGGAGCTCCGGATCTAATGATTAGATTTTGATATACAACCCTCACCCTCCAATTCTCTACCTAAATTTTCTTCACCGCTGTTTTGAAGTGTCTATCTCGTTTACAGAAAATATGCTCTATTATGTACAATTCGGTCCCTGGTTTTGCAGTAGTCAAAGTTTCAACAATTATTCCCAAGCTCACAGCGATCCGGACAAGTTCCACATCCTCTAAGAACGCTCAACCAGAAAGAACCGACATTCAACAAGTAAGACGGATCTCCAAAGTTACTACTTTCTGCCCGAAGAAGGACAAAAGGATAAGCCCACTATCTGTTCTAATCTCTAAAGTTAACCTTGTGTTTATTCTACACTATGTCCGAGTGAGTCCCTGGTTTGGCACTGCTGAAAGCTTGGATCTCAGCTACCAGAGGAGTAGATAATGTCCCATTATAAGGAGACCGAGGCCACGTTCTTGTAGAAACGTCGCCTTCCCCAATTTATTTAAAAATCGACCCCCCTTTTTGCACCGACTCTGGGATATTCAAACAGCATAATTTTTACAGCTCGGAGCCACAGTCTGCGGCATCCAAATTTAAAGGAGCCTTTTTTTCTCGTATGGCAACCCCAGCATACGTTCCGAAAAGAGTGCAGCAGGATTTGATCCGCTGTGGATGAACTAACAGTACTCAAAGGACGGACCTACAGTGAGCACTTCGTTTCAAAGAATTTTCGGTTAGATGCTGGTGCACAAGTGGGAAAAGTTGCTGGGGATTTCTCAGCTTCGCACTGAATTGCCGTCCTCGGGACGGAGAGGTCGCCCGCTAGCACATGTTTCCGGCATAGTAAACCTGCTTGACGAGGTGGAGCTTACGACAGGCCCAGGAAGGTGCCCGGTGAGTCGCAGTGAGCTAGGTCCGGTATCCGCTGGGAATGAAGGGAAGGGGTTTTCCACTGGCATTGACTGGAGATCTTCTCATGGAGAGAGCGTATTCCCGGCAAGTGGAGAGTATATAAGGATCTTCGGTGTCTCATAGCATCTTCAGAACACGTCGTCTGGCAGCAGCAGAAGAAGAAGAAGAAGAAGAAGAAGCAGCAGCAGTAGTAGATCAAGTCGACTCCATTCCTGGACCGAAGGTGTTCTTGTCTCGGTTCTCGTGGCTCTGCACTTGGATCTTCTCCTCGCACAGACAAAGAGTTAATTTCCGAAGCCAAAGCTTCGGTCAATGGTATACAGACCGCCTGTGCTTGACAGTGTTCGAAGGCTCCTAAGGAGTTCAGCCATTGCATACGAGTCGTTGAGATCTCTTCCCGAGCGGTCCAGAGACTGCTGGCTGTAGGGCCTGAGTTAGATTTTAGAAAAGTTAATTCGCAGAAATTCGTCGCCGAAATTCGTCTCCATCATCGAGTTTTCCATTTACCATTCTTTCATTTTACCCTTCTATCATTCAGTCACAGCAGGTACGAGTTGCAGAGAGCAATTCTCGAGTGACAGCTGACAATTGAGGCAATCTCTCGGCAAGCAATCGACAGCATGATGTCGAGTACGGCGGCGTTCAACCCAGCGGACATGACGGTGAACGGGGTCCGGATGCGGCCGGTGCCGAGGAGCATGCGCAAAAGCTTAGTGCTGCCAGCGGAACCGACTGCGCCCGAGAACGAGTGGCTGTATCTGAGCAACCTGGACCGAGTGGTGACGGCCACATTCAGCAGCGTGATTCACTTCTACGAGAACGCGGTGACGGCGGAGCGGACCTTCCAGCAAGTGATCGACGGACTGAAGCGGTCGCTGTCGCGGGTGCTGGTCGACTTCTACCCTTTCGCCGGCAGGCTCGAGGTGGGCACGGATGGACTCATCAACTTGCACTGCAACGATGCCGGAGCGGTGTTCGTGGAAGCGGCCGTGGGCGTGGAGCTCGCGGAGGTGGGAGGGCCGCAGGCCATGCACGTCCTGTCGGGGCTGGAAGTGGCGCGACTCGGCAAGGGCCCGCTCTACATCCCGGACCAGCTGACGCCCATGCCCACTCTCGTCGTCCAGGTGACGAGATTCAAGTGCGGCGCGATCGCAGTGGCCACGAACTGGCATCACAATGTTGCGGACGGATCGTCGGGAGTCCATTTCATCAAGTCGTGGGCGGAGGTGGCCACCGGGCAGCCTCTATCGCTCGTGCCCATTCACAATCGCATGCTTCTGAAACCTCGCACTCCTCTGAATCCCAGCCTCGTGCAAGGCTACAGCACCAAATCGGCCCACAATCTGAACCAGGTCGACCTGCACTCCGTGCACAAGTTCAGCGGCGCCACGCAGCCTCCGGTGATCAGGAGCTTCGCTCTGGACGCGCAGACCGTGAGGCAGCTGAAATCGCAGGCTTGCGGAGCGGCCTGCGAGCAGGATGCAGCGCAGCGGAGTCAGACGTTCACGTCCGCGGAATCCATCTCGGGCCACCTCTGGCAGAGCATGACCCGAGCCCGGCGCCATGCCGACGAGGCCTCGGACCTCGATCGGCAGACGCTGAGCAAGTACTTCATGTTCGTGGACGGGCGGAAGAAGCTGGACATGCCCGCGGGATATTTCGGCAACGTCGTGTGCAGCGCGTGCGCTGTGAGCACCGAGGAGGAAATTCTGCGCAACCCGGTGTCCTACGCCGCGGGATTGGTGCGCGCCGCGTGCAGGAGCATCACGGCCGACTACTTCAGGTCTCTGATCGACTGGGTGGAAGTGCAGGGCACGGCGCCTTCCAAGTCCGAGCATGTGAATTCTGTTGGGAGGGATGTGGCCAGCACGTTCTGGACCACCTTCCCTCTCTACGAGATTGAATTCGGATTCGGGAGGCCGATCTGGGCTGCCAGAAACTCCCCGCCCCGCCCTCTCATCGACGGCATCGCCATGATGCCCAGCCCTCAAGGACAGGGAAACATGGTGGCGCTTATCAACCTGCACGCCGATAGGATGGAGCGGATGCAGAAAGATCCGCAATTTTCCTCTGTGTTCGTAGCTGACGCGCTCTAATGGCGAGCTTCGAGTACCTGTAAAGAGCTGTACCTCTCGTAGCGCCAATTTTGACTCGTACATGACCGCAATTCCAGTGGAAGTCGAAATGGAGACATTAGAATTAGAATTGTTGCGATATTAGTTAGTACCGAGGGCTTGTAGTCATCCCTCTGACATACGATATATTCTGTGCAGATTCATTTTTTTTTTGTAAGGATTAGAGGTTAAATGTAGAATAGACGTAGACGATGTAGACGACGACAATTAGTGTCAGGACCTTTTTGTCAAGCCCTGTGTGGCCTGATTTTGGATCATTCTGTAGCCCGATGTACTTCATACAGATACAAGCTTTCAGACTTCTCTAGATCGAAAACATAGACAATCAATATATACACAAATGAGCATCCACAAATGGATTTACTCTCCCGACTTGCAAATTGCAAGATCTTTTTCTTGTGAATCTCTTAAGAGAAAATTTAATCCAAGGACATCTTCATAGTTGCCAGATTAAACCAATGTGTGGTCACTCTGGTTGACACGATTGATCGTGTGAACACGAGCCTCGTTTTCTCCTCGTTCTCTTATTTTTAGGCTGCAGAGTCTCCTCTTCGTTTTCACGACGATTTGAAGCTTCCATCACCTCACGAAAGAACTGGCCCTGCCTTCCTGGATGGAGGATTTGGGCTAATAGGCCCATCACGTCATCTTCGTGTAGATACACGAAGATATTGTGATGATGATAGAGAACACTCAATAGTAGGTGAACCGTCCTTCGTGAATCTTTCTTCACGAAAGACACATGCATCGAAGGTCCTTGGAATACCTTGACTGTTATATCTTCTGTTATACCCCTGACTCTTTCTTGTGCTTACTGGGTATTCAGTCATGGAGATGTGATTACTCTGATCTAGGCAACGGAGCATTTTCATGGAAAACCATCGTTCCTACATACATACCAAGTAATGGCAGAAGTGCGCAACTAGGACATTGAAAATATCCACTGAGATTTTTGAATCCACCATCTCTACTGAACTCCTCAACGATTACACGATTACGAGTTATAAATCCACTCATGTTTGGAATATGGGCGATCCAACTTTGTCGCTGATTACTATTCAGCGACAGAGGTCAGTGTTTCTTACATACAGCTTAAAAGTGAACCATAAGGTTCTCCTCAGGGAAGTCCTTGTATCTGCAGCAGTAGTCAAGACCTCAAATGCAATCAAGCGCAGCAAACGATGCCTTCAACTAACTGGATAGTCAGCTCTACTGCATATATCCCCTAACGTTGTCGACCTGAGCCTCGTCCACACCGACTGGGGCACGGGACTCGAAACTGCTGACGGCTGTAAATGAGCTCTATTCATCAGACAAACTTCGTAAATCATTTGTCGTGAATTTTCCCCACCTGTCGTTCACTAAGGGCCGCTAGACCCTCGAATCTTTGGTGAGCACGTGCGCCACACATACGATGATCCACCCGGAACCTACTTGGGGTATTATAAAGTGCCATTAACAGCACGATTTCAGGGCTGCAGAGGAAGCCAAGCCCTCATGTATTCTGCTGTCGAGAATCAGCGCACACATGACACTAATCGTCCTTCCAAAAATTATATACCATAGCGGAGGTAGATTTCATGACATCAGAAGTGTTGGTGGGCATATATTCAAAGTGCCTGGTCACACTATTGCAATCGTACACAATTACCGTATATTTTGCAGGACACTGTATTGGACACAGGTCATGTTTTTTGGCAGCGTTGGATGGTATGATTCATGGGATATATCGAGCTTTGCTTTGGAAAATTATGCCCAGCATATGCGATGTGGGATGATCTTGTGTTTCACGCCAATACGTGCGTTCTCGAGGGGTGGAAGGGGCGGGGGAAGAAACCTCGGAAGGATGACATCGGAGGCTTGCACACTTTTTTCACCGATTCGTAAATTTGCAAGGAGGTTTCACGTGACGCACCTCGTAAAGTAAGATTAGGAACCCATCCCGTGCTGAATCTAGCCATGCCAACTTTAAAGATGATAATTTCTTTCTACGTTAGGTCCTGGATGTGTGTCGTCCGTCTGAAATGTGTCGCTTATGCAGCCATGCACCGAGCGAGCGAGCGAGAGCGCCAGCCGCGTGAGAAGGAGCGGTGAAAGTCCTCGGATGGCTGGATCTCTCGGATGATTATGTGCACTGATTGACATCGAACAGGACCAGAAAGCGTGCACCGGAATATCCCTTCGTCAAGTCAAATGCAAGACCAAACCACTACACGCTGGTCGGTGTTGCTACTCGATGATGTGCAGGAGAGGCTCTGAGCCCTCCGGACCCCACATCTGGAACGACGCGATTATATATTAAGATTGTGACTTCCGACCGGTGCTCTCTATGCGTGTGCTCAATCTCTCACCCGTACCACCAGTTCTAAGGTTCGTCAAAAACTGCTGTTAACTTCATGCACGAGCACGGTGCTCATCACTACACGTGTGGCATAATCACCTTGACGTCTGGAGTAGCCCATTCTGTGGTGAGATGAATCTTTCGATCGTATATTTCCGGACAAATTTGACGTTTCTTCGAAGACTGCTTCGTTAGCTAGACTCCGACGCCCTGTTGAAAGGCCGTGTGAGGCTGCTGCCAAATAACTCTGAGCTCCTCACGGTAGCAAAGGCATGAGCTTCTGTCTCACCACCTCAGAGTAGATAACGCGATATCATTTCATTTCATGTACACCTTCAGCAGCACTCGATAGATTCAGCCAGCTACGAACCGTCTCGATCGACTGCTTCGGAGGTAGGCATGTCTCCCAGGAGCCTACAAACAAATTCTCACCGGAGTGAAAACGCACAGTGAAAATCAGAATCTAAGGGTGCGACTGGAGTGATGTAAATGCTGAGAGTCTCGACGATTCTCAACAAGCGTAGCAGTGAGCAGAGTCTGTGACAGGGACGATATCTTGCCGAGTCGGATCATTTTGTTTTCAGAATGGACTGCCGGACGCACAGTTTCTTTCTGTCGAATAAGAAATATTAATTTAATGTTGAAAAGTCTATGGATAGGCCTCGAGGTGCTCAGCGGGATGCCGCCTTTCCCGCTACAGCCACATACTTGGCACCACCTGCCGATTTTGCCTCAACCACCGTTGACTGCATCCCCAAAGGACTTGCATCTCTTTTCACGAAAAGCGTCGAACATTGCATCGTTCTATTTCTTCGCTACAAACAGTCTTACATGCAAAAGATGTAAAGAGCATGGTTGAAAAATACAACTACGACTTGACTTTCACCAGTCTCCGTAGTCATGCCGTATGTTTTACGGGCGCCCCGCTCGACAGATTTTGATTCTTCTTACGTCCACCACACTGCTGATATGCTGCGCCTTTGTGATGCAGCATTAACATGTGTCCCGCTGTGATGACGGGCCCGACTGAGCTACGGCAAACCTTATTAGCAGCCACCACTTGGCATTAGTGGCTGCCATGTTTCACTTCCAGTACCTCGCAGCATCTATCTACTCCAGTGACAGTCTGAAATTCCGGACCACCATAAAAAAACTTTAGGGTCCTTGCCAGGAGAATTAATCTTCTGCCCCTTGTGCGAGCCTCTTCCTCGCATAAATTTAGAATAAGCGCCAGTCGTGGACCCGCGAGACTGGTTCTGATCGGTTTCGCTTGTGGCAGGTTATGTTTATGCTCCGGGTCATAAAAGCTCTCTGAGACACGTGATTCTGCGTGTGGCTAGACGAGGCGAGGCTCCGAACAGTTGAAAGATTCTGCTCGACATTCAGAGGGCTCTCGACCAGAGTCAACCGAGGTCGCAATGGAATCGCTGTGGAAGAAGTCGAGAGAAATTTCTCGGGCGAAGGAACGTCATAAAGCGGCAATTGTATTGAGTGTCCAAAACTCAGTCGCAAGAGCAATGCAAAGCTCATGTTGAATGGGAGACTATGTCAGGATTTAGCGAAACAGAGACAGGGCAAAACAAGTGGTTCAGAGCGGCCAAGAATTCCGTTCTCCAGATTTGACGCTCTATTGCCTTCCGGCTGCCGAGAATTGTCAGGGCCCCACACACGCACGACGCACATCACCCCGCGATCCCTGTGATCAGGAGATTCATAGCAAATCTTCTCACCTTGACACAGCCGATCCAACATCCAAATGGTGGCTGTTGATGACTGCGAGAGGGACCAAGCGTCGCCGTTTGCGCAATCCGACATCGAAAGTTCGAGACCATCTATATCTCTTCATGCATTACGGGTCGTCAACTCATAAAATCTACCGAACCCTTGCTCGTGCACCACTTGTCTCTGGGCTGTTCCATCTCATCTCCGTCATTACAAATCTGTCCCCACCGAGTAAACCGAGCCGTGCGCAAGATTACAGCAGAATCTCGGCCCATATACAAGCAACGCGACCCTTGTGCAATCTGGAAGACGATTGCATCGGTTAGTAACTCACACTGGTGGGGATTTTCGCCAGTCACGCCGATCCGTCGTCGTTGTTGATGGGAACGGAATCTGCTCTCATCCAGCTTTCGTGCGAAAGATTATCAAAGTAAATGCTCGTGGCATGGAAGGTTACGGGGATGAGATCACCTCTGATCATTGCTGTTGGAGGTCATACCGCAGTTACTCCGCGCGTGACCGGTGCTGGAATCGAACATTCATATCGGAGACCGTGGACTTGACGGATGTTGCACCATCTGGACGGAAGCTGCTCGGCAACAGCATGACTGACCCTCGATTGTCCACGGATCCCGCTCTGATCCAGGACGCAGCTGAGATTCAATCAACTGCGACCCCACCCCCAGAGCGAGCGATTCGTCGTGTAGTCGTCCGATTCATTGTCAACCGGCTGACCCTGCCAACCGCGCACGTCTGCCTGCCTCATGCTCGTTGAAACCAGCGGGACTACAGAATCCGAGCCCCTATGGCTGACTTGATCGGACCTGAATCCGTCCACTGTTCGCGTCGGGCCGCGAGGCAGTCAGATCCGATGTCTTCTTGCCTCGCGAATCGATGATCGACGGGCGGTCAGTTCGATTGTGGCCCCCAAAAGGCGCAGCAGCTGAGCGTTTGAAACATTCCACGGCACCTTTTTCGCCTCCGCGTGAGCTGTTTCGATGACACGGTCCTCGGCTCTGGTCGATCTCATCGTATGAACTCGCATCGACGTGGAGTTTCCGTGTTCCTCCTCGCACACGGCTTTCCACCCCGGCCCTGCCCAGCCCTGCCCTCCCGCCCCACCCGCGGAGCCATCGACGAGCGCAGGTTGAGGAAAATGTTTCAACTTCTCAGTTGACTCGTTGAAACCATGACCGCAGCATGCGAAAAACGGTATCCTCGCTGAGTTTACTACGGCCCAGTCTCTCCCCGCCACTCTCTTACGACGATCCTCTCCTCCACTCGAATCCCTGCAAAGCGAACATTTTTTATGCTGCAGTCCGATTGCGGTCCATGAGGCAGGCAGCCAAGCCAGAGCTGTGGACATACACCCCGAGCATTGACCGCACCTGAACCTGTAACGGGCGAATCGAGTGAGCATTCGGGCTATAGCTAGTGAGTGATTTTTTAGGCTCTCCATCAAGCTTCATGTGCCGAGATTTGTCTGGCATGCGACCCGACGTCCTTTATCACGGACTCTCTCTCTCTCTCCCGCTCAGTCACTCGTGTGTTTGTCGATTGCAGACCCAGAAATTCTAGATTAATCGGAAAGGGCAATGCATGGCTGCGAAGAAAATATCTTTCTCCGATTTCTTCAGATGATTTGCTTTTCTTTTAAAGCCTCTCTTTTTACGGTGCATCTGGTTGATAAGTACTGGAATAAATCCGGTATGGGAAAGGGATTTTGGTCGCGTCAGCTACAGCGACAGCATCGAGCTGGCTCTACCAAACAGTAAAACGAAACGCAACAAAAATTCAAAAGCTGTGTACTAACCTTGAAGGCACATCGTCAGCTGGAACAAGTGAATCGTCCGAGAGCAGATACGAAGAGTGAGTGAGCTTCATGCCCGTCATGCTTCTGGGAAACTCAAGTTTTGTATTTTCCTCTCATATCGAGCTCTCACTCAACATCAGAATTTCGTCTGAGGTGCAAATCTTACGACATCAAAGGTCGACCATCATTGCCCTCGCTTGCAGGCACATCACTATGATAAAAGTGCCCAGATCTATAATCCTGAGGGTTGCTTGTAGCCATCCTTACAGACTGGCTCAGTAATCAGAAAGTGGATACGAAAAAAGACATTCATTGAAAGAAGAAACTGGACATAATTTGCTAGACCAGCACGTTTTGATTTCAACATTTTATAATATAAAATTGACAAATTCAGATAAAAAGCGGGTCGGATGATTTGGGATTGTTGAGAATCGTCAAACCCTTTGATGGTCGAAAATGATCACACGTAGGGGTAGATGATTCCGATGACCTCGGTGCAATCTTGTAGCTTCCTTGCAAACAGCACATCGATGAAATGGTGTTCAATTTGACCGTATCGGCGGATCCAAGCCTGTCAGCTGATTTGCTTTCGGAAGAGTCAACTTACCATACTCAAGTTAGACATGTGACTAGTGTTCAACGCAAACGTGTCAGGAACTCACAGGTACATCTCAAGTTGTCTGACTATACGTGCGCATACGTATTCCATACGTGTGTAGGCGCTGCCTTTTACTATAGGAGAGCAATACGTTTTGTGATACGCCGTACGAAGAGACACAAGCCTTTAAATCTCACGGTAGCGTACATTAGAAAGCTCCCGTCTGGTGGACTTAGATTCATTCGAGGGTGGGATCCAGTTTCTATATACAGCATCAACAGTTCGATACATGCAACATGTGTATCATCCGTGAAGCATGTTCAGAATGCAAAGCATAAGTATGTCGAAGCAGCACTTTCAGACGACGTCAGCGACAGGCGATTCTTATGTTCTTGCTTTTTCGTGGCTGGAAGTTGTTTCGATTGTACTCTTTTCGTTCTGCCTGTTAGCTCCTATGGGAAAATATTTCAACGTTTGAACGTAATTTGGTTTTTGCCCCGTTCCTTGAAACTGACTCCAATGACAAAAATCTCGAGAAAATTGTTTGACGGGACTCATCGGGTTTCATTTTACCCGATGGGACCCAGCGACGGCCTTGGAGCACCACCTTCGATGATGTTCCAATATTTTCGAGTAGAACATGATGTACAGCCAAGACCATATCCGGATTAACTCGGACTAATGGTGCCGGTCTATTTCTCGGACTTGGCTCGGAACGAGTCGCGAAAATACTCTGGTTGACAGAGTTGGACACTCCACACAAAGCAAATCATTAGGATGTAAGAACATAGGTGACGGAGACAGTCTAATTGGGTCCCATAGGGTAAAATGAAATCTGATGGGTACTTTCAAAACTGTAGATGTTTCCAAGAGATCCATCAAATAATTTACTCCAAAAATTTCATAAAACGCTCATAAATATGACATGCGTCCAATTGTGTAGCTATTCACCTCGTTTTTAAAATAGAACTTGACTTCTTATGCTCTTACAGTTTGTAAATTTACTTTTATCCATGTAGATACGTAATATGTACTTATATGGTGTGTTACGTGGACAAATCTAACAATATAATTACATATGCATAAACATCTAATAGTTAAACATATGTGCATCTTAGAAATGTGAGTCAAGGTATCATTGGAATCGCTTACAATTTTATCCAATAATCCAATATTCAGGAAACCTCTTTAACATTATATTGAGGTGATAGTACTATTCAATATATGATTGAATATAAATTCTTTTGGAAATAAATTTTGAATTGAAATATTTATCTGTTAATTATATTTTATCATGCTTTTTTTAAAAAGAAATCTACAAATCCGTTTATACATCTTCTTTAGATCTTACTGGAAATCTTAGACCTTACTCGGGGTTTCTTCTATTCTCAATTTTGGACCCAGTTAGTCAAATAGGTATCAACGCCAATCATTCATTGAATATCCAAGCCAATAATTCGAAAAGAAAACAACCACCGCAGATTGATATTTTTACATATACATCACTTTTTATAACACAGCAGAGATATTGATTGCAAATGTTTATCATTTGATGTATTTTTTCTTGGCTTCTTTTCTTGAATATTTTATTGTGAAATTTACCTATGGTAGTTTTACTCAAACCTAAATTCTACCAATATTCATATCTTTAGTAATTTGAATCATTAATTTCTGAATGTAAAAATTATCTAACACTTCAAACGAAACAAATACTGTTTGAAAATTTAAATAGAAAAAAAAAACTAAAAGTTCCAAGATTTTCATCATGTATATATGTGGAATTTCTTGAATGTTTACAAGTATAATACTATATATCAATAAAATGCACATCATAATGGTGTAAATAAGTGATTTCAAATATAATATGTGAATGATTTATAGATTTTCTCTTGAAATAATAGCTAATTTTTAAGATGAATCAATATGTTCCAACTACGTGATTTTCATACTTCTATTTAAGTAATATATTAACTAAATTTTAATATTCTAGTAAAATTAATAATATATAGAATTTCATCCTATTTTTATCTGTAATAAGATATCCTAAATATCTAAGCAGTCAACATTTCAACTGCCAACTATTTTATTTTTTTATTATTCATCAAATCAAAAAACTCGTAAAAAAATGATTTTTAAGCAGAATTTTTTTAATCTATTTTTTTTAAACATCAGAGTTAAGATAAGTTATAGTACAATAGGGTCAATTTAACTCTACAATAAAATGTTAAGTAAAAATTTCAAATGCTGAAAATAACACTTAAATATCAAAAAATCCCGATTTTAAAAAATTGCTCAAATTCTAATGAAAGTAACAGAAAAATTTAATATTTTATTGAACATGTATATTTCTTAGATTTAATCTTATAAAATCTTTATTTTAACATCCAGGTGATTAGATGATGAAGGTTTTAAAATTTACTATTTACCGAAGTTAAAAATTTTATTCGTCATTTGGAACTTATTTAAATAATAGTTACATGCTAAATTAATAAAAAAAAATTTCTCATAAGTTATTACAACAAAAGCTAATAAATTTTTTTAAGGGATTTCTGTTAGTAATCTCATTTTTTACTCTGCCAATCCAAAAAAATAAATTATCAGATATATGTAATTAAAAAATTAAGAAATATAATCTAAAATCAGTTGATTTTACGTTTGAAAAATATTAGAAATAAATGTAAAAAAAAATTAAAAATTCAATACATCTAGACATTAATGAGTTTATAATAGTAATATGACTTTCACAATATATTTCTTGAATATCTTATTAGAACTGTATAAGATGTAATTACAATTTATTCAATTTTGAGAGTGGATTTCAAATGATTACATGAACATCACAAGGTTATTCAACAACATGATTTGAACATCAGTAAACGTACAATGTGTATTTTGTGCTGAGGTAAAATATAGTTCAATTCAAGTGATTTTTAGTGCAAATTGATACTCTAAATTATATACAAGATTTAAATTGACTATAAGATTGTTGTTATATAGCAATTATTGTTGATATATAGGTATATATTTCCAAAAAAATCTTTGAGAGAAGATTAGTCTGAATTGATATTTCTGTGAAATTTACTATTGATTGAATCAATTTTTGGTAAATTATGTTGGGTTTTGTACATAATACTCTATAGATAAACCGGTGATACAATCTAATGATTGAAAATGTTTTTAAATGATTAGTAAGAAAAATTTAAAAGCAAATGATCTAGTTATACGCAGAAAGAACAACTTAAATTTTTACGAAAATAAAAATTAAAAATTTTTTCATTTATTTTTAAAAAAGTGAAGATAAGTACAAAACTCAACATAATGTACCAAAAATGAAGAAAAATGAAGAAAACTTCTATATAATGAAGAAAATAAAATTTTCTTCACTTGAAGAAAAAAAATAAATAAAAATTGCCAGAAATTTTTAATATGTTATTGTTTCAAAGAGCTAATAAATATAAGATGGTATATTTCAAGTAACATACTCACATGAAAACCTCAAAAAAATTATGTACAACCAAACACTTGAATATTTGCACAACAATTTCATTTATTACAAAATTTTTTGAATAGCGGTTTAGTACCAAATAAAATTTTAACATATACATTGTAATTTTATTTATAAATTTTAAATCCTACTATTTTAAAAATAATAATAAAATTAATTTAAATACATAAATTTTTATTTTTGGTACTTTTGACTTAATTCGTTAAAATTTTGATTTATAATTATAGTTTCACATTTTAAATAAATTTGAAATATGTCTGTATAATATATATATTCATAAAATGAAATCATCTCAAATAATAATTTGAATGATAGTTAATTGCTCTTGTGATAGTAATTATGATGAATTTATTATATAAAATAAAATAAAAAAATATATACTCGTAGACAATAATGTCAGTGATGAAATTAATTAACTAAATTTTAAAATTTTTCATGTAAATTATTTTTAAAAATTGTATCTCCAATATTCAATAAATTATTTTTAAAAAATATTAAAAAATATTCTATATTTTTAAGCAATAGGAATTTTTTATTAGTTTGAAAAAAATGTTAATATTTAAAATTATGAACATTGTGTTTTCAGCAAATATCATGATAAAAATTTGAGATTTTGAAATTTTTTAATATAAATTTCAATATTTTTATGTGTTGAAATTATATTCCAAAATATCACATTTTTTTATAATTAATTAAAATTTTTGTGGAGTAAATTTTTTCAAAAAACATTTGAAATTTTTGAAATTTCCAAATTTATAAGCAAAAAAAAAGATTGATCACAAGTTGAAATAGATCTACATAAAGTGCAGATAAATGTACTGTTTCGGAGTTTAGAAGTAATTGCAAAGGATAAAGTACCAATTTTACTCTTACAATCATTTATTTCTACAATAAAATGCTATTCCTCAAAGACTGAACGAAAATGTTCTGAAAAAGGTATGTGGTATGTTGAATTAACCTGATCTACTACATAAATTCAGATTGAAATTAGACTTACCGCAATGTATATGATCAATTGTCATACATTTGTTGACATCATTTTAATTTAGACATAATTAATTATTTATGAAAATATTTTTGATTTCTGTTTATAATCAAGAATAAAAGTATCTTTTCAAAGATCCTATATTCAATGATTAACGTTTTTGGATTTGCAATTGGCGTGACAATTTTCAGTTTAAGAAATACTATAACATTAAGGTGATTGTTGAAGAAGAGTTTTTTTTAAAAAAAAAACCTTTTATTTTTATTGAAAACGTAGTAAAAACTAAAGTATCTACACCAGAGAAATTTTAATATGTGTTTATTATTGTGGGTGGATGCATTAGTTAGAAAAGAAATCTGGCAGGGATGCATAGCAATATGCACTATGCACAATGAATATATAGTGGCAACAAAGTCACCAAGTGAACTATTTTTTTTCATAGAATTATCATTGAGATAATTAGAGCAACATTTGATGAAACATGAATCAAGAGGTACATTATCAGGAGTTGATTCAAATCTAATATATTTTGATTTGTTTAACTAGTTTATAAGAGAACTGGTCGTAACCCTCACTGTCATAAAATTTAGAATATTATTGAAATGATGTTGTATCCGTTTGGATGTACCCTCACTGAGATAAATCATATATGTGTCTCAACTTAGATGAATGGCTGTCTTTTAATTTCTTTGTGTGTAAGCAATAGTTTCGAATATTGAAATTGAAAATATCAGTGTATTAGCATTTCTATGTAGGTGAAAATTACTCTATAAAAACATCATTTGTATACACTGATTTTACTAAAAAAATCAGTGTATACAAATCAGCCTGAAAGACAATAACATTACGTTCAAATATATAATCTAAAGAAATATGGCTCTCCAAACTTTATGTTATAATCAAGAGTTCCAGAACAAGCATCATCAATAAAGCTATATTTCCCTTAAGGACATGTTCAAAATCATTGTGGTGTGTTCAAGTAAAATCTGCATTTATCTGCATGTCTAGGTGTAACATTTATCTCGCGATACCTATTTCTTCTTCTAATTTTTAAAACCCGTCTTCATTGACTAGAATAGTCAGTTTTTTTTAAATATTATGAATATATCATTAAATAACTAAGTAAAAAACAAATTGAATATGACAATTGAAAATTGATCTTAAAAAAATATCCCATTAGTGATTCGATTAAAACTACTGTTTTCATTTTGATAGAAGCCTGATGCGTTGATGGTTAAATAATAGGCGTTGGCGTTTGACTTAATATCCACTTACAATTATTCCTTCATACTTTTAAAGCCTGGACGTCAACAAATCCCCAAGTTTTTCCTCCACCCTCTGGTCACGGACTCGAATTAGTGGGTTGTGCTGACGACCGACAGATACTCACGTAGGGCTGGAAAATCAGCTTGCTCCATTTAGTTGGCATGAGTAGTCCATTGGGTTAGACGATCAGCCGAAGCGGAACTCGGGTTCCACAAGTCAGGTTAGTCCATCCCACACATATGTAACTCTCATGAAACCATCTGCAAAATTTGTTTAGTACAGTAATCAGCTCTTTCAGTATGTAGTCGTTTACCCTATATGACTAAAGAACAAACAGAACCAAAATACAAGGAGCAAGATTTTGTGCAAGAATTACTTTTGTCCGGGGTATGCATTTGAAATCAGTTCCCATGCGAGTGATTAACATGAGTTATACTAAAATTCGTAGATGATACATTTCTGACTGGTCTCTTGCTGAGCTCTCAAACCAAAGGTGAGCTCTGCGTATGCGAAGTCCAACAAAAAATTGCAAGTTGGAAAGATGCACCTTTTTGCACCTTGTTCGAGTAATTAAATATTCAATAGTAAATCGCTTCCTGTATCGACTTTGACAATCTCTGTTTGGCCTCCGAACGCAAGTCTTCCCTTTAGAACAATATTGAAGCTTCAATGTTGGACATGATCAATAAGCCCACTTCACTCATGCCACAACCTCTTAAAGCCTTAGAATTGTCGTGGAGTTTTTTGTTTCATATGTGAATATTAAATTGTTTTTTCTGCCATTGAATATACTTTTATATCATTCCCGAGGTTTGCATTGATCATTGGAGAGTTCCAGTCCAAAATAAAGTTTATGCTTTCAAAGCTTCGTCAAAATGTAACATGATAGGGATTAAAGCAATGTTCATCACTATAATACATAAGATCCTTGTGACATTTTTAGCATTATAGATATAAGCATACATACATTGTCGACTTGTTACATCTATTATTTCATTTGACATAGACGCTTCGGATGAGGATGTGATATTAGTTTATGGCCCTGAGGGAACTATAGCTTTGATTTGATGATGATTGTTGCAGACCTCTTGAATACAACAGATGGTCTATAGGTACCATTTTGACCATCAATTTGCTTGTACTAGACATTATAGATGGGGTTGTGAAAGAATGATATATCAGGAAAATTGTGTAACTGTTTTTTTCATTTCGACCTTTTACCAAGGTAGGTATTTTTCTAGCCTGTTTTGGCTTATTCTTTGTACAACACTCTTCTGATTTCATGGAAATTATCTTCCATTTATTTAATTTCAGCTTTGGGTCCAACAAATGGTTGTGCACAGGTTAGGTTAAGTTAGGATTTTATGTGTGGGTTCGAACTGGGAGCACGAAGGAAGAGTGGAACGCTGTGTGGGTCTGTGCGACTGCGTGGGCGTGCTGTGCTTCTTCCATCGATTATCCTTCGGGCAGGGAAGGGCAGTGGGTGAGATCGTTTCTGTTTTGTTCTGTCATGGAGTCCATCCCACACGGTCGCCTCTACCAGGACTTCTTCAATTGATTTGTGGACTTGCTGTGGCCTTTTCGTCTACAAGAGTGAAATTATTCGGTAAGTTTCTCGAGTCTCAATGTGAATCGGCGCCGAAAGAAGCAGCTTTCAGAATTTGAGTTGATTGTCTTCTTTTCGTCATTTCTTCTGCAATTAAATTGGAATGTGGTGGTTTGTAAATTGGGTCGATCACTCGTTTTCGGAATTGATGCTACCTTTATTTATATTGTCCCCCTGTACAGATCAAATTTGACCAGTTCCCTAAATCCCCTGTTTCTTGTATTCATAATTTCAAAAAATTGAATCGGCTCGATTTTTCTTTTTGAATGCAAGCTATGTTCTTTGCGTCAATCAGTAGGTCTACATAGGTCACCAGTGAAGCACATTTCGTTTGCTCTGCCAAAGTTTGATTTTACTAGCTTCATAGACCATCCAGGCTCCCATTTTCTACAAGTGACGGTGTTCTAGCATTGCTGGCATTCCAGTTCACCGAGGCAGAAGATTGGTTTTCCGATGCTGGGGATAAGCTCAGGTATCTCTGTTCAGATTTAATATTTAATGTTGAAGACCAGGTTTGAGATATCTATGAATTTATATATTTTTGGGCTGAATTCCCACGGTGGTATGAAGATCCATGATTATCTCTTCTAGACAAGGTATATTATCAAAAACAAGAACGAAAAGGAACGTGAGTGTCTCATGTGTAGGTTTATAATGTCCTCATATGCCGGAAAGGAAAGGAGTTCAATAGCTTAATTCTTCAAGGTGAAGTCAGGACAGGAAATGGAAATAAATATATTTTGTAGAGGTCTTGCAGCAAGACTAATATCTGCTCTTCTGGTTTCTTCCTAATTTTGTGTTTACATTGCCATTTGGGTTCTGTTTGTTTCCTCCTTGGATCTGCATTTGTCGTCGAAAAATTTTCCACTCAAATTGTGGTCTCATTGGTTGCTCCTGTCTTCTCATGGCATTCTTTGTGAATGGATTTCAGGTTTTTTAATGGAAGTACAGTCTAGCTAAACTGCAAGAATTCGAATGTCGAATTATCCGCGATTGAGGAAGACTGGATGCGAAAGTTTTTCGAAGACATTATCTGGAAAATTACCAGCAAACTAATTGGTGCCCGTAAGTGATAGGAGAATGCAGTCAAGAAGAGTGGCACATCACGTGCTTCTGAGAGCAGCTTCTATCTTTGAAAATTGTTCGGCTGTAGAGGGTGTGCTCGATGGCCGACATGTCAGTTACTTTTCAGGATCGTTTCACCGTTGGGATGTTCCAGTTCACAAGCGCTCTTGGACTTGTATCGCGTCGAGAGGGCCCAATAGTTTGCTTTCTCAAGAATCTTCAGGAACGGGGTTGGGTCAGCTTGTTAAAGATGATGGGAAAATTCCAAGTCAATTTCGGCGATTATATTTGTCAGAAGCCAGTTCTGTTCTGCGGAGAGAACCTGTTGGCCTTTATGGTTATGGTTTGCTTAAGTCACCCCATGGCTTTCAAGCTTTTGCTCAAGAAGCAATAGACAAGTAAGTTTATTTCTGTGAAATAATTAGACAGAAATTTGTAATTCAGCATTTTAAAAACAAATGTTGAACACGACTGATGTTTTGATAGAAGCTCGAACCATATTATCAGGGAGTGTCTAAGCTGTCGTTGGTTTGACGTACAGGTCAGAGGATATAATAAAAGAAATTCAAGTTTTGCCGCCATCTATGGCTACAATACGAGCCTTCGATGATATCTCCGATGTGGTGAGTTGTTGATTCATAATACTTTGGTTCTAAAACGGGGATATGAGTGAGTCCTTCTTTGTATCCCGACTTATCAGTTAAGTCGTTAGTGGATTTTTCATTTCAGGTGTGCACTGTTATCGATGCAGCTGAGTTGTGTAGAAGTACTCATCCTGACAAGTAAGGTGCGTTCCTGCATCCAAATGACTTTGATGTACATAGTTTTCTTGCTTTACTGTTCTGTTGGCAATTTTTACCTTTATGAAGTAGTTTCTCTTGCTCCTTAGTGTAATAAAATATCAAGCTCGGGAAGACCCTTAGTTGCTGAATTTATACCATCATTCGGAACTTTCATAGCTCATGAGTGATCAGATTCTGCTGGATGAATTAGTGAATTCTGGGCTTCGATCAAGATCTACAGTGTTTGCAGGTATGGGAGTAGACACTACTCGTCAATGTCTTGATTATAAGATTTTTTCGCAGGGACTTTGTCAGAGAGGCAAATAAGGCATCTATGAAACTTTATGAGTACTTGCAAGTGAGTAGCTCCTCTTATACTGCATCTACTTGAATTCATACCGAAAATAATGTCTCCAGGGCCCGCGCAGTCATTGGAGCTATTCAAGTGAACATCAAGTTCTTTTGGTGTTGGATGTTGAAATTATATGGTGTTGAGAGAATCCAAATTATAACTTTTGCACATATCGCATGTGTCTTCACTGGGAGTTTTAGTTGATGAGGCGGTCATGAGTCTGACTGAAAGATGGAAGATCACACCAGCATGAACAAAGCCCACTACTTGAGAGCATCTCTTCATTATTACGTTGTCCTCTTTGTTCCTCATTCTTCTTCTCCGCTCGCTAGCAAGGTCCAGCCAGGATGGCAGGACCAGGCTATGGCAGACACTTTCAAATAAAACTAGTGGAGTATATTGGGGTTGACTTTCTCTGTACGATCATACAGGAAATTTTTCCTAAACACGTACTGTTTGTGTCTGTTATAGACGCTTTGCAAGTTTTTGTAAATGATCAGCATATAATATTGATTTGTATGAAAATGTGGATTGCCTTCTCTTATGTCTGCAGTACTTAAATTCACATCCAGTACTATACAAAGCTGTGGTTGATGTGGAGCAGTCTGACTCTCTGACAACCGATGAAGCTAGAAGGGCAGCAAAGACTCTTAGGGTAGATTTTGAACGAGGAGGCATTCATCTTCCTCCCGGTGAGTTTACTTTTGGCTCGTATTTTTAGTGACAGCTTCTCGGCTGTTAGATGGCTTTGTGACAGGCGAACAGTATTGACGCGTCCTTGTTTTATTGTAAAAATTTGTCTGTTTTAACAAATGCCATCCATTCACAGATAAACTAAAACGAGCGAGTGAGCTTAACTTGGAGATCACCCGTCTGGGCCGAGAGTAAGTGTTCTAATTGATCAATCAAATTTGCAGTTGATCTGTATGCATTCTTGTTCAGCATAATCTAATGGATTGCTTGGAAGATGAGAACTGTTTCAGACGAGAGGTAGCGTACCCCGTGAGTTCAGAAAAAGAACAATACTCATCATGAGTTTGCTGTCATTTCAGGTTCACAGAAAATGTTATGTATGAACAGGGTCAGTTGGATATATTTCCCGCGAGCTTGATCCCAAAAAATCTGCATAGCATGATGGAACCCATAACGAAGTCGAAGGGTGGGATGGTGGGACGCTATCGCCCCAAAAAAGGTGGCAGTGGAAGTCTTACCGGCTTGCGCATGTCGACTGAGCCTGCTGTCCTCTTTCCTGTTCTTAAGTATGTACCGGATTCTGAGGTGAGTGTTGTGAAGTTCACTTGCGAACTACTCTGCTTATTTTGAAATGTGAAAAGGGTTTTATGCGTCTCAAATGCAGGCTAGCATCGTTTTGTGGACCTACTAACCTGCTTTTTTAACTTACTGTAACAACTTTAGGAAGTCTACTCCTCCCAGGAAGAGTATCCCTCATTTTGTTCAAAACGCTGACACTTGACATTGTTCACTCCTTTGGTGGTTGCAGGTGAGGAGGAAGGTTTATTTGGTGGGAAATAGTGTTCCCAAAAGCAATTTGCGCGTTCTCGATCATCTAATTTGTGCCCGACACGAGCTTGCACAGGTGACGCTTGATCACGTCTTTTGAGTGTGATCAGATGTAGAAGTAAAACTGGTGATATCGAACAAAAGATGTACAACTGACATCGCGACAAGTGACTGTCAGACTAGTCTTCTTTGTACTTGTGTACATATCACTGATTAAACCATGTGATTCTTCTTTGACCTTACTGTGGTCAAGCTCAAACGGGCCAGACGATCTGATGACTCAGATGCTTATGTGCAGCTTTTGGGATACAACTCGTATGCTGAATTCGCGCTTGCACCGACCATGGCAGAAAAGCCAGAGGCAGTTTTGAACTTTCTCGTGGATCTCAGCACGAAAATAAGAGGAAAGGCAGATGAGGTACTGTATGTTTTAAAAGCTCCATTTAGTGACCTGTATCAAGTGAGTTCAATATATTTGAGACATGTGAAATTCTACGCTTTCATGTAATTTTGAAACCCTGGCAAGCAAGCAATCGGGTACAAGCCTTTTTGTGCTTTATGCTTTGCTAGATGCCATGGCTTCTGATGCCTTTCGCTCAGGCTGCTGCCCAGAGTTGATAGATCAAGTTTTATGTCTTTTAATCAGGACACAGGTTACTATAAGTGCCAGTTGTTTTCTTGCTGAATTAAAGAACTATCTAGTTTGTGGAAGATTGAAGTTACTGTTATAATGTGTTGCAGGAATTGAAGATGCTGGGGGAGTTTCGCCAGCAATTAGAAGATGGGAATAACAGCTCAGTGCAAGCTTGGGATGAGTCTTATTACTCTGGGTTGCTCAAAGCCCGTACCCATGATCTCACTGCAACCGTAATATCATCTGACACTTATCGTCTGGTTTCTTCGTTCATGTCTGAGTTCGTTGAGAATCTTCTATTTTATTCTTGGTTAGTTTGAGTTTTACAATAACCTGACTTCACGATGATTGCATGCAGGCAGTAGCTTCATACTTTCCATTGACGTCTTGCATTGAAGGATTGAGAGTTATAAGCCAGTCTTTATTTAATGCTACATTCGAACAGGTGCCAATGGGCCCCGATGAAGCCTGGCACCCGGACGTCCAAAAACTAACACTCAAACATGCTACAGAGGTTTCATTACCATCAACCCGCCCGTAATGCTTGAGTTTTCTTTGTCTCTCTTACGTCAACTCTTAAAGAAGAGATTGCTCGTGAAGCGTTATGATCATCATGTTTATATATTCATGTATTCCGACTGTTTTTGGTCCAGGGGGATCTTGGACACATGTATCTCGACTTGTACGCTCGCCACGGCAAGTTTCCCAGCTGTGCTCATTTCACACTCAAAGGTTGTAGGAGACTTAACGAAACGGAGTACCAAATTCCGGTACGTGTACTCGCTTAATGTGCACAGTAGTGCAACTCTAGTTTGAGGAAGGAAAATAGCAGTTAGGGAGATCCAAGTCATTTGCGACACATGACCAGCAGAGAGAAGATGTACCACATCTATCATATCCTTCTTCTTTTTAATATGTACAAAATAATTGACTTTGTGCAGGTGGTAGCATTGGTTTGCAATTTTTCTAGCCCTCATGCTTCTGAGGCCCCTGTTTTGAATCATTGGGAAGTCGAAGCTCTATTTCATGAATTTGGTCATGCCCTTCATTCTTTGCTCTCACGCACGGTAAGCACCTCTGCAATCAAGATATCCTTAATTGTGTTATATAGGTCCTGTATATTGTTCGCCGATTACTCTTATAGTATCATCTTCAGTATCTATTTTACTTCTTCATTTCTTCGTGGCGGATATAACCCAAATTTGTCTACGTAAATCTGGAATTGTATGATGAAAAAAGACAAAAAAGCTTTGTTTGGACAGAACTACTTTGGAAAGTAAATTTTGGAAGACTTCAACTATCTTCCATGTTTTGTAAGCAGGACTATCAGCATTTTTCAGGAACGAGAACAGTCCTAGACTTCTCTGAGACCCCATCTCACCTCTTTGAGTAAGTACTACAAATTTCTAATCTATTCATCATCCTATCAGAAACTCAGTTTATTGGGGGCATAAATCGAACCGTAAACCCCAGGCTAAAACTCTGTTGCTCAATGAGATAGGTCAAATGTGTCGCCTATTTTACGTACTGAGCTTTAGGATTGATTGGGAACAGGTACTACGCTTGGGATTATCGGGTCCTAAGCAAATTTGCCAAACATTATCAAACAGGGGAACCTATACCAGAGAAGATGGTTGAATCTATGAATAATGCTAAACGCATGTTGGCTGCTACCGAAATACAACGGCAGGTGGGAGGTCCTTTGTCTGAATCGTATCTGAGAAGTGCATGCTTTGCTTATTTTTATTTCTAGTGGATTCCAGATTCATGGATTAGAGTTGTAATTGCAGGTTCTATTCGCCATGATTGATCAAACCTTTTTTGGCAAACAACCATTTCCTGGAAAAGACACAACATCAGTAGTTGCTGACTTAAAGCATCGACACACTAGCATGAAGCACGTCGAGGGCACCCATTGGCAAACTCGATTCAATCACTTGATCAATTATGGTGCTGGTATGTGACCCGTATATGTATGTTCTCATCGGTGATTAGTGTGGGAGAATAGGTGTAAATTTATTGTAAGTGCCCCATATTTTGGATTGTCACTGAAAGGAAGAGTACGGAATGTGAACTGTGTGAGATCAGATTGGAATCTTTGATCAAGAGGAAGCGAGACTTTGCTTTCAATTCTCCTTACTTCTTACAGCACGCTTTGTAATGGCTATCATCTTTGCTTGCGAAAATGCTAAAACTCTTCAATGGTAAATCATTCAATTCCTACAGGTTACTACAGCTACTTGTATGCTCGATGTTTTGCTGCAAGCATTTGGCATCAACACTGCCAAGAAGATCCCCTCAACCTTGAGACAGGGGAGAAACTACGACGCGGTTTGCTGCAGTTTGGAGGTGCGAAGGATCCTGCTCGGATGCTGCAGAAATTATTAGGAGACGATGCTCTTGTTGCTTCACCCTCAGGTGGAGTCAGCCCTGCGCCGCATCATATGCTTGCAGAGCTTGGACTACCATCGTCTAGGATGTAGAAACCGTCTGCCTTCATCCTTGAAAGCATTCGTTTTGATGTAGTGTAAACCTACGAACTTTGATGGACGTCGCTAGAGCTAGTTCTTGCTGCCTCCTCTAAACGACAACTGTGGTAAGTAAAGTTGACGGACAAGCAAGTCCGACCTTTACCAGTTTCCTTCCGTCTGAGCATGGGGAGAATGTTTAACCACTGTCACGCGAAGTAATTAGCTTAGGGAAATGACCGTCGAGTTATTCTCTGACGTCTATGTTGTAAGTAGGCACCTCCCTATTGATTGTACGAATACTTCCGGAGGAAATCGTCCAAGCATTCGCGATAAATGAAAGGGGATGTAACCCACAGTGCTTCGGTTCAAATCTCTGAGATACACCGAAATATTCTTGGCGCCTAAATAGATGCTACAACGTCGTACATTATACATTTTCGTTGAAGGATTTTAGTTACATGCATGCACCTTCTTCTGCGTTTCCGGATTATTTTATTGTCGACCGGAGACTCACTAGTATAGAATTTCCTGTGTGAGTTTGAACATTGACGACGTCATCAATGATGTTGTCTACTTGACGATCTATACAACAGTCATGATTTCTTCCACGTCCATTTCTACTAGTCCTTTTGAAGAGTCTGAAATGCGCTTTGTGCTCAAGAGGAGAGAATGTTGTGGTCATGCTAATATTTAACGAAGTAAGTGTTTGACGGATCTTGATCACATTGAAGCTACATCGGGTATGACGATGTCAACATTGGACACTAAAGCATACGTGTCTGATGGTTATGTATAAACAAAATAGAATCTTCAGTCTTCCATGATTGCCCTACGACTTTGATGACGCACATTTGAAGTCCAACTTGTTGAGTCTCCTGACAGAAATCATGTGACAGCTCTTTTATAGCAATTTTGTGTTATCGGATATAACCCACATCGCAGCCATTTTGACTCTGTCAGCTGTATGCTCTTGCTTTACCACACAGTTAATGTTTCAACACACCAAAATATATATATTCTCTTGATTCCAGCCAGCTATCCAGTTCCCTTTTGTTAATCGATGATTTCCACCTCGTCAACTTTTCAGGTTGCTGCACCTTTTCTGGTCTTCTGGGTATTAGGGGTGAAATCAAACTTGATGATGCTGTCTGATATGATTCATTCTGGTCGGCGACATTGCGAAATAGCTCGACTTTAGTGACCGATCCTGCCAGCCTGTTGTAGCCATGCAGACTAAGTAGGTGGTGAAACGATCTAGGACCTGAAATTGACCACAGCGTCTGTATGTGGTTGATTCTGCACGACCATTGCCACCCTTTCAAAACATCAACGGGAAAGTCGACGTATTTTCCTATACAAAATATACTCTTGTCATGCAACTCATGGACATGACAGAAGTTCATGAGCAGGAAATTGATAGCCTTGGATCAGCCCATAAAATCGTGAGAACCTAAAGGAGTACAGAGAAGTCTACTGGACTCTACCTTGTTGCATATAAAACATCAAATGATTTCGAATAGTTACTATTGAAATGATTTCTTTGTCCTTTGCGGAGAGATATGCGTCAATGAAACAGATAAAGAAGCTTTGTAGTACAACAGAGGGTTATTCTACTCAGGTCTAATGATGTACCACTTCTTTCTGCATTTGTACAGTACTATATTTGTTCTGTAGTTGGGCAAACCTTATATGTTATAAATAAATGTGTGGTCGAACGAAGCCATTTTTTTGGCTATGGAATATCTTGCTGCTTTGTGCGTATTTACAACAGTAGCACATCTGGTCAGTAATATCTACCCAAGGACCCAAGACATGTATGACTTGTGATTATTTGAAATTTGACTGTGTATATTTGAAATCGGACATTGTTTTTGGGAATTGAGACAATCTTTACTATGTGATATTATCTAAAGGGGACTGCTGCAGAAAAGATCAAGTTTCTACGTGCAATGAAATACGCGCCTTAATCACGTAGTATGAGAACGAAAAGTAAAATCTACAAGCTTTCAAAATTAGGTTGCTCAGAACATCAATAAATTCGCGATTGCAAGAGTTTGGAGCTTGTAAAAATACATGCCCATTCTTACGATGCAGTTGTACTTTCATTACTCCAGTCAGTGTTCTCTGACGTGCTATGTTTACTGACCAGGTGAGGTAACATGGTTGTAACTTGAAACGATATACACTTCCAGCCATTGATTCACGTGTTAAGTTTTAGTTCTTTCCTTGACAAATACAAGTGACAACATCATCAAAATGTAATTCCTTACAGTCTCTCCTTCGTCCAGTCAAAGAAGTCTTAAAGTAGCAGAAGGTGAAAAGGAATGTATACCCAATCAATCTGGAGGAAGGATTTCAGCAGAATGAATGCTGCTGAAATCCTTCCTCCAGATTGGGAATTCTATCTTCCTGGAAGCATAGAGTTGAAGATCTCATCTTAGCTCATCCAATGCCCTTCGAGGAAAGACAACTGTGATCAATAGAAACAAAGTGTTCTTTGAACAGAGAAGGTGTGCAACTTGCCCAACACTGTGTTACCTGGGATAGGGTTTGGTGTTCGGGTGAGAATTTGTCCCCAAGAGAGGTTGATATATCTGCCATCGTTCTGACTGGGTTTCGAGAATTCCTATCTGTGGAACAGTTACAGCAACGTAAAGTGGCCTCTACTCTTATCGAGTGCAACCTGCTTCAGCACATGAAACCAGCTTTTGATTTGTCTACACTTCTTACTTCCTTTACCTTTACTGAAAGCTGTGAGATCCGAACAACATATGAATAATGAAAGGGCCCAGATCCGCTCAGCCACAATTAATGAAACGGAATAAAAACCCCATCCTTTCTCATCTCTTGAGATATATGGTCGCTTGGCTTTAAACAAATAGTCTGAAGCCGAACATACCTTTTAATACTGCAACTATCATTTTGCATTCTTACATGGAGAAGTTTGCATCCGGTGGTTTTTTTTTTCTTCTTATTTAAATGTGAACAATCAAGGTTCGTCGATCCACCTCCAGGTTTCCCAAAAGGCAAAATGATGATCTCAAAAAAATTAAAAAATCATCTGATTCGATTCCTACTTGATTGAAGATTGAACAATTTCCTACTCCTCATAACCTCTGAAAACTGCACGAATCTAGCACATGCAGTGTCTATGGAAAAGCAACTCGAATGTGTTTTCATCTCGTTTGCTAGTTATCGTGCACTAGTTAGAATCCGTGAAAAAAATCCTCTTGGTATTTTTCATTTGTTGCAGCCTGAACTGTGTGGAGGTGGCAGACGAGGAAATATACTGTCATGATACGAATGTGGCTTCAATATTTTTTTGCGTTACACATCCTTAGGTTTGCAAACATTCAGATGCGACATTATTTTCCGACTCTTGCTATAATGAGTACAACGGGGACAAACTCTGAAAAGTATGCGAACGGGCTTAAATACGTTTCTCTCTTGAGTACCAGAGCCTCTGAATTCTGGCCTGACAAATGGATCAGATATGATGTGTCATGAAATATGTCAGTCATAAAGCGAACCTCTTCCCTCTCAGACCCATATAGAGAATTAGGGCGAACGTTTCATCTCGGTGGGGGGAATTATTTTGCTTGTCATATGATTAGCCCGCTTCCTTGCAGATACGCTGTCGCATTATCATGTGAAGTAGAATTTTCACAATGAGTTTTCTATTAGTCTTCATGAGTCAAGAACAAATCAGAAGATTGGAGGGAACAGGACAACGCATACGTTCAGCAGAAATCATATTCAATACAATATACTCTCAATCCAAGAGAAGGAAGTACATTAACCTAGCAGTTGTAATACAAATAGCTTGCAAATTTTAGCTATGTGCCAACATTATTTGAAGCTATTACGTAGAATTATATCTTTTTTAAATAGTTCTCAGCAGAGACCATTTACTTTGTGAAAACTTGTGTTATGCAGTTTAGACAGTCATCCACTGTAAAGACTTTAGCCCAACACATATCATATTTTTTACTTGAGGAAAGGCTTTAATGACCGGTACAGCTTAGATATCAAGAAGGACGGGAATACCCATTATACACGTATGGAACCATGGGTTTATATAACATGGGGCTAGGTTCCATAGTATCACAACCGGATTTAACAGTTCTTGCATCAAGATATACTCAACGTATGAACCGAAATGTCCGAAAAAAAATCCGTAATGAATACTTAACTTTACTTTTACTTATGGATTTATCGGCTAATAACTCACAAAGATCATATCCTATATAGCATGTCAATATCCACATAGCTCAATATCATAAAAAAGAGATTTCATAAATTTTATCTCCTTGCATATCTCTTCAGATCTCCACACATCCATTATGATGGATAATCGCCTAGTGAGAAACGTGTCATGTACAGGTACTAAAACGTTTTAATCGACTTATTGCATTACACTCCTGTACCTCATACCTCATGTGACTGAAGTGTGGAACGTGCTGAAGGCTCTCCCTCAAAGAACGACAACCGCACTGTATTTCATACTCAGAGAAGGATGCCTCAATCTTGAAGTCCCGTGGTTATGGATTACATCTTTGAGCTTTGACAGAGCATTTTTTAATTCTCTTACCTGACTCCTCGGCGGAAAGGGGGTCTCAGAAGCAAACCTAAGACATCGAACTCTAATGGGCGATTCGAAAGCACCGTATTTGTCCTCCTCCATCATCAGCATCTCGCGGCTCTCGAAGATCAGGCAGAAAAGAAACGGTGTCGCTATTGATACGAATATAAAACGACGAGTGTTAAAGAAAGCATAAAGTTTGTGTACCGAGGCTCTCAAGTCTTCCCTTGCTGTTGTACATGCAGCACTGGAGCACGGATGTACATTTCGTTGGAGAAGGCGTCAGATCAAACAGTGAGCATATTGACAAGCCGACGTGCATTCCATCAGAGTTTCAATGATGAAACGCATCGAGATGGAAAGCGAGCTTCCAGTCAGATGACATCAGGAAAAGAAGAGAAGAGAAAATGGTAAAAAACAAAACAGAACAAAACGCCGGAGCTAGTTGGAACTCATCAGATTCTTGAAATTCCTCTCTGTGCGTCTCCCTCCAAGTGGTTGAACGAGCAGGATTTTCTCCATAAATGCCACAGACAGGAAGCATACTAAAATAAGTGCACAATAATCCATCGGTCGGGTTATTCGTCGACTGGAAAGCCGAAAAATCCAACAAGATCACGCGACTACATTCATTACTTCCACTGCATCGAGAAGTTGTTCCTTAGCAACTAGAATTTTACGCCAAAAGGGAAGTGAGCAAATTTCTAACCAGCAACCTCAACAACATCGCAAAGGGGCCCATCGATCGAGTCGAGTCAAGTCAAGCCTGGGTCGTAATATGCCCACATGCACCGCGATGCGTCCTCTGCAAGTCCAAAAGCTCTGAATGACAAGACCTTGATATAAAGAGCAAATCGGAAGTGTCCGCCCAATGCTTCTCCAAGACCGGCTCACAAATTGTACGTGTGAGAATTATTTGCCTCCCTGCCTTTTCTGTCACCGGGCACAAAAGCGAATAAGCTCCTTCATACAACCGATGCCCTCCTTGAGTACCAGTGTGATAAGTTCTCTGACCTGCCTTTT